CCAGGCAGGGCCGGGGGCCGGGCGGCAGCCAGCGGGCTCTTCCCGGGCTCTCCCCGGGCTCTCCCCGCTGGAGTTTCAGGCAATTTCATCTCCAGCGCTGTTGGTGAGGCAAAAACCCAGCTGCACTTGCCAGGCATTGGTCTTCCCAACCTGTCAGCTTTTGGGACAGGAGAGCCAGCAGGTCGCGAACAGAGGTGTGTGGCAAAGCTGGTTTTCCTGGAGCAGCTCTGCTGACAATGGTGGAAATGCAGCGAAATATGTCAGATTTGCTTCTGGAGGGATGTGGCGTTGAAAAGATTTAACTATCTCTGGGGAAAGCCATTGGGTGGTCGTCTTTGGTGAAAGAACTGTCACCGTAACTGCGGTAATAAAGGTTATACATAATGAAAGGAAGCTGGTTTCACCAAGCAGAGCTTCCCATATATAGCCAAAGAGCAGGAGAAAGAAAAACAGAAGCATTTTTGCCCTATGACCTTTGCAAATCTGGTCAGGGAAAATCTTATTGCCATGGGAAGTTCTGTGCACTAGAAGGGAAAAAAATGGGCTGTTATAACCAAAGAGCATACTGGTGTCACAAGCATTTCACTCCATGATGTCACTGTTGTTTTGCTGAAACTGTGCAGGGCAGCAGATCGCATCAACTAGTAGAGAAGGCCTCAAACAACATCAACTCGCAGAGGAAGCCTCAAACAGCGTCAAGGAGAAAGCCTTAAAACACTAACTGCCTGTTCTGGCTATCGTAGAGAACAGTGTAAATGTCATCACAGTTAAAATGTTAATTGCTGGCTTGTTTGATTTAATATTCCTTTCTTTATATTGGCCTTCTGGTCATTTTGTCAGTATTTTCAGTCTACATGGTGTGGAAATGACTTGCTGAATCACTACTGAGTGTTGTGGTGGGACTGGGAGCTGACCTTGAGTGTCACTTGAGCCCCACTAATTTCTCTAGCCTGCAGGCCATCAGTGCCTGTGCTTTACATGAAGTGCTCTCATGAAGTGGTGGCCGTTGTGAGAAATGGAGCCAGCAGATGGAAGAGGTGGTGCTGACAGGGCTCCTAGGGATGGAGAACAGTCATAGTATTTGTCTTGGGAGATGGAAGACAAGAAAGAGTAACCTGTGGGCGTTTGACAAGAAGTCATTGGTCTGATTGTTTTCTGCCAGCACTTTGTGGTCTCAGAGATGAGAGTCTGAGCTACTCCTGTGCATCTTGGAACACTATTAAATGGTCTGTGTGTTGCTGGCAGAGGAAGTTTGTGGTTTTGCTCTCTGCAAGTGGTGAAACACTTATAAGATTACCTGGCATGAGTAAAGTTGTGGCGGAGGGGGAGGACAAAGTCACTCCTGTTAGACTATCACTGAAAACAAAAAAAAGTCTTGTATACTGAGCAGGGGGCACTGTCTGGATGGCATGTTCTCAACTGGCAAAATGGTCTTATTTTGTTTGTGTGTATTTGGATGGTGATGGCCTGGTCTGTCCTTGAGATCAGGTATCTGTTGCAGTATTTGAGGTATTTAGCCACCTATGACACATACTTGATCCGAAGCGCAGGGCTGCTGGGAGCTACAAACCAGTAAAGCCACATCAGATACTCAAAGGTCGACTGTGGAAATGAGACCTGCCCTCAAATATACCTTCAGCGTTTCCTGGATTTTTTTTTTCTGTGCATATGCTGACGTTCTCTGCCAGTATGATTTTGTCAGTCAAGGACACGTTGTCTCACTGATTGTACATTCCGCCTCCCAAGACAGGGGAAACTGCACTTTCCGAGTGCTGTTTGTTTGACTTGGAGGTGGAGGTGCCGGGTACGCATGACGGCAGAGTGACGTGCACCGTTGCTGCTGTGGGTATGTGGCTCTGCGGCGGTGTGCCCACGTTCTCACTTGGCTGATGCGTGTGAACATGTGAAGCACCTGAAATTTGAGATTACCTCAGTATCTCAAGATCAGTCCTCAGTTGTGGATATGATATGGGTGGGGTGAATCTCTTTGAAGGAAGAGAAAGCTGCCGACTCCAGCGTATCTGGGAGAGTTGATGTATCAAATCACCTTTCAAGGAGGTTGTTTTCCAGAAGTTAGGTATATTTTTTTCTTAAGAAGCTAAGCAAATGGTCTGTCCAGTGCACCCTATCCAGAAGTGATGGCATGAGGTGTATCTGTACTTCCTTGCGGATAGGGAAATATTCCCCTGGGGAGGAATCAGAACCTTGTGGAACATGCTGTGTAACGCTTTGGTGCAAGTTTGTACTCACATGTGCAGTGTAGCTGAAAAAGTTGTGAAACTCTTGAACAGGAGAGCGCTCTCAAGTGATGGGGCACTATGATGTAAGGGTCAGAACAACTATACTTCACAGCTGATGAAATTTCCTTTGCCTTTTTTTTTTTTTTTTTTTTTTGGCAGTGGAGAGAGCGGTGCAGGGAAAACAGAGAGTACAAAGCTATTGTTGCAGCACATAATGAACCTGTGCAAAGGCAACTCCCAGCTTGAGCAGCAGATCCTTCAGGTAGGTCATTACAGGATGGTGCTTGAAGATGCAGACGCAACACTGCTGCAAGACAGCTTGTGTTAGGCTCAGGAAGCCTGCTGATGAAGTCTTGATTTAATGGTACACAGGGATGGGAAATCAACACAGCCTTCAGTCAGCTTTTCTTGGCTACTTATACTTACTGTCAGGCACATACCTGCTGACTGGCTAACTTCATCTTTGCTATTTTCACATACCTGTGCTAGCAGATTTTGAAACATACTTGTCTCTTCAGTCTGAAGTATTTCCACTTGAATTGATCCCCAACAAGTTGTGAGGTTTTTTGAGCAAATCATACTTTAACCTTCCATGTGATTGACTAAGTAGAGTAAGTTCTCAGGCTACTTCATTTTAAAGTCTCTGTTTTCAGGTTTCCTGTAGGCAGGGAGAGAAGAATATGACAAAAGGCTCATGGGTAGAGATAAGGACAGGGAGATCACCCAGCAATTACTGTCACAGGCAAAGCAGCCTTGACTTGGGGAAAATTAATTTATTGACAGTTAACATCAGAGTAGGATAATGAGAAAAAAGACTAAATCACGCCTCCCTTCTTCCCAGGCTCTGCTTCACTCACAGTTTCTCTGCTTCCTCTCCCTGAGTGGCACAGGGGACAGAGAGTGGGAGTTGCAGTCAGTTCATCAGACATTGTCTCTGCTGCTCCTTCCTGCTTCTGCTCTTCCCCTGCTCCAGTGTGGGATCCCTTCCACAGAAGACGGTCCTCCATGAACTTCCCAAGTGTGGGTCCTTCCCATGACTGCAGTTCTTCATTAACTGGTCCAGCATGGGTCCCTTCTGCAGGGTGCAGTCCTTCAGGAACAGACTGCTCCCATGTGGGTCCCCTGTGTGGGTCCCCCATGGGGCCACAGGTCCTGCCAGCAAACTTGCTCCAATGTGGGCTCCTTTCCATGGGGTCATAGGACCTGCGAGGAGCCTGCTCCAGTGCAGGCTCTCCATGGGGTCACAGCCTCCTTTGGGGCGCATCCACCTGCTCTGTTGTGGGGTCCTCCCCAGGCTGCAGGTGGGTCTCTGCTCCCCCGTTACCCTCCATGACTGCAGGGGCACAGCTGCCTCACCATGGGCTGCACTATGGGCTGCAGGGGAACCTCTGCTCCAGCACCCAGAGCACCTCCTCCCCTCCTTCAGCATTGACCTTGGTGTCTGCAGAGTTGTTTCTCTCACATATGCACACTCTTCTCCCCCAGCTGATGTTGTGGATCAGTTTTTACCTTTTCTTAGGTATGTTATCACAGAGGCACTACCAATGCTGCTGGTGGGTTCAGCTTTGGCCAATGGCAGGTCCATCTTGGATGCAGCTGGTGTTGGCTCTTTCAGACATGGGGGAAGCTTCTGGCATCTTCTTACAGAACCCACCTCTATAGCTCCAACTGCTACCAAAACGTTACCACGTAAACCCAATACACTGTGCCATGCTTTGGCATGGCATGTTATTTCAGTGTGGTATCGATCTGCGGTGGATCCGAGATGAATGCCTGTGCTCCCTTCTGAGAACCTGCTGGCAACGTTCTTCCAGTCAGCATGCATTCTTTGCTCAAATGTGAAAAAATTATCACTTGACCTTATTTGCATCCAGTTTACCAAGCTGGTCTGATTTTTCTGTTAGTTTCTTTATAATTCACTGTCCAGAGCCTTAACCCTCTCATGGTTTAACCCCGGGTGGCAACTTTCCACCATGCAGCTGCTCACTTACTCTTCCCCCAGTGGGATGGGGGAGAGAATCAGGAGAGTAAAAGTGAGACAACTCATGGGTTGAGATAAAGGCAGGTTAATAGGTAAAGCAAAAGCCATGCATGCAAGCGAAGCAAAACAAGGAATTCATTCACTACTTCCCATTGGCAGGCAGATGTTCAGCCATCTCTGGCAAAGCAGGGCTCCATCATGCGTAATGGTGACTTGGGAAGACAAACACGATCATTCCAAACGAGCCCACTTCTTTCTTCCCCCAGTTTTATATGGGGAAAAGTTGGGGTCAGCTGTCCCAGTTGTGTACCCCCTCAAATTGTGGTGCACCCCCAGCCTACTTGCTGTTGGGGTGGTGTGAGAAGCAGAAAAGGCCTTGACTCCATGTAAGCACTGCTCAGCAGTAACACAAACATCTCTGTATTATTATCAACACTTTTCAGCACAAATCCAAAACATACCTTCATACTACTGTGAAGAAAATTAACTCTATCCCAGCCAAAATCAGCACATCTGTCTACAAATTTCAGTAGCTGAGTTATCATGCTTACATTTACTGAGTGCCATGTTTACCTTGTTTTTTGTTGTAGTATAGCAATCAAATTAGCTGGTGATACCATGTCAGATGCTTTGTGGAAATCCGTTATACCAACCTTATCTTTTAACAAATGAGTCAGTGATATTACTGAGATCAAATCAGTTTGATTGTGCTTATTTTCTGTAATCTCATGCTGCTTAGTCTTTGTTATATTTGCCTCTCTCAGTTCCTTTATTCAGGATATGATAAAATAGATGCTCTTGAGTACTATGGAGTGCTTCCTATTCCAGCTCAATACTGAATAGTAAATGCTAAAGTTAAACTTTTCCAAGTAAGTTAAATTGGATCACTTAATTTGAAGAATGCTTGTTGCTCATTTGTTTTAGGTAAATCCGTTGCTTGAAGCTTTTGGCAATGCCCAGACTGTGATGAATGACAACAGCAGCCGCTTTGGAAAATACATACAGCTGCGTTTCCAGAAAAATACAGGTAAAATCAAGGGCAATTACTAGTTTGGGGGGTGGTTAGACACCAGAGGGAGTGATCTGAGTAGCTAGAACTTGTGCAGGGTAAAATCTTGACAATTGACTCCCTGTGGGAGGGGTGTGCAATTAAGTAAAATCCTACAGTAACCACAGCTGTAGGATAGGGCCTGTGTTTGAGCAGTGCGTGAGTACAGGAAGGATGTGGGGGTGCTGTTGCAGGGGAGGTCTCACTAATACTCTATGGTTCCAGAATCCTTGGTTGCTTCTGAAGAATGTCACCAGACAATTCTAAGATGGGAAGCATGGAGAAGGCCATTTCCACTGTGCTGGGCAGTAGAGGATGTTGTACACAAGAAAGTTATTTTAGACAATTACGTGCTCTTGTCACCAAGTAGGGTGACAGTTAAGTTGGCTTCATGTCCACAGGTGCAAAGTTTACCTTGTCACCTTCTTGTGTGCAGTGCGAGGTGCAAAGCTGAGTGAGTACCTGTTAGAGAAGTCACGGGTAGTGCAACAAGATACTGGGGAGAGGAATTTCCATATCTTCTACTACATGTTTGCTGGACTCTCCTCGGAGGAAAGGGAGATGTATGGGCTATTGGATCCTTCACTCTACAGGTACTTCAAAGGCAGACCCTAGTATTAGTCTTCATGATGGGGGATGGAGGGGAAAGCAACATAATGGAGCCTATGCCTCTGCCCTGTGGCTCTATCTGTGGATAACAGATAAACAGGTAAACAAACGAAGGGAAGCTGGAGTGGGGTCTGCATGGTTCTGCATCAAGAGATCTTACAGGCCATCATGGAATCTAGGAGGTCTAGAGTCTCTTCTTTGTTGCATTACCTTGTAAAACTTTCTTCCCTTTCATGTCTCCACTGCTGCTGATCACCTTTGTTCCTTTGGGGTAGGACTGATGTGCTGTGCTGATTGTGTGATCATTTCTCAGGTACATAAGTGGACGATTTGGTACACAGGATGTAGCTCAGCACTGGAAGCACAAATACCAAGAGGTGTGCAATGCCCTTGACATGGTGGGCTTCCAAGAACAGGTCAGTTCTGGGGTCATTTAGTTTCTGTCTGAACTTCCTGCAGGCATGGGGTTTCTTTCTGGCTGCTGTTTTCAGGCTCAGTCCTGTTCCTCTCCTCTCTGTATTTTCCATTTTGCTTCCAAAACACCTGAGTCTGTCAGACACTGTGTGGAGCCTTTTCCCACTGGGTGCCTGTGCCTTTTCCCTCACCTCTCCAACTTCTGGGGCCTCTGTTTTGTATATGGGACACACTGATAGGTTTTCAGTCACCTTTCTTTTGTATTTTAGGAGCAAGTGGACATGCAGGCTATCTTGGCTGGTGTGTTGTCTTTGGGCAATGTGACCTTTGAGCCTGAGGAGAGGAATGGGTCTGTAAAAGTGAGTGAAGCTTCCCTGGGATGGCTGAAGGCTGCAGCGGTGAGTCACAAGAAGAGCTGACAGAAACTTTATGGGTATGATGCTGGTTCCCACATTTCCCAGAACCGTTCCCAGATAAAGTTTCTGCCTCAGAGTGTGAGGGCTCCTGAAGAACAAGGAGTTTTTTCCAGAAGTGGCCAGTACGACACCATGACTGAATTTGTGTTCGCTGCTATTCATTCCCAAAGAGACACTTCCCAGCTTCTATTTCTTATGTGTCTAGAACCAGTGTCTTGTGTATGGTGATATCACACATGCCTTGTTGACTTCATGTGATACAGGCTTTTTAAAATTAAGTGTTACACGTTACTAAGTGTGGTGATGCCTTGGAGAAATTGAGATGTGCAGTATCTGAACACTAGTTCTGTGTTTTCGACATATCTTGTCCAAAGATAGCTCCTTAGCTGCTATCAATTTTTGTTATCCAGAATTAAACTTTCTACTATTTCACATTAAATTTTCACAAATTAAGAAGTATACATTCCCCAGGGCCATCACATTTTTATTATATGGCATGGATACATTTTCCTGCTTTGTTAACAACACAGAACAGAAAAATGTAATGTATTTCTGCCTTTTTGATATCTTTTTATTTTGACCTATTTGAAATCCCAGCATTCTGGTTTCACTGTCACCTCTTTGCTTGTTTCCCTCCTACACCATACCTGAAACAACCACCTACATCTGTTCACCAGCCAGCTTCTTTTTGTCTTAGTTCTTAAAGTCTGCTCCTTGGTTTTTTGCCCACGAGAGGGGAATTACTGAGGGGTTCAGTTGTGTATGCGTTCCTGTTGTTTCCTGTCTCTTGTGGGTTCATGTGACACTGATGCCTGCTGAAGCTCCGACTGTCAGTGCCTGCACAGTCACCTCCGTGTGGTGCTGTTCAATAAATCATTAAACCATTCGGCAGGGACTGGTGTGGCTCCCAAAGGATGTGAAAGGTGGCAGCACTGGGAGAGCAAAACAGAAAGTATTTCAGAAAGAGCACAAGAGTTGGTTTGGTCACTGTAGGCATAATGCAGATCTTGGAGCTAACGTCTGACTCCAGTGCTGCAAGATAGTAACAGTAGTGCTTATTTTACAGCAGAGCTCAAAGTCCTTAATCTGAATCATGACCCCGTTACACAGGGTGTCACACAGATGCAAGGAAATACGATCCCCACATGTACAATAAGGGCTTATTGTTGACTGTCCTCATCCATTTCCTCTTTCCCAGGGTCAGTTTGGAGTCCAGGAAGATGAACTGCTAAAATGCCTTATTTGTACTATGTCAGTGACCCGAGGCGAGCAGATTCAGCGTTTTCACACCCAGCAGCAAGCAGAAGGTAAGAAACATAATGAATTGCAGATGTGCTGGCTAGAAAGACTCACCCATATCTGATGAAAGGGTATCCCCACACATGTGTAACTTGTGCGGAACAAAGATGTCTGTCTGTGCCCCTTCATTCATCTGTAGAGAGGTCTGTATACCAATGTTTATCTGTTTAGTCTCTTAGTGACATGTAGGACCGTGAATGCTGATTTTGTGTGATCTCCAGGAGACTGCAGAGATTAAATGAGAAACCAAGGAATTAGCCTTGCTTTCTGCCTCAGTCAAGCCTAAAAGCAAACTGTAGGTATTTGTACAAAAGAGGGGAAGGCTCTGTTGCAGAGTGCTAGCAGTGTGCAAAGCTCTAGGTAGCAGACAAATAACTGAGAGAATCAATGAGATAAACAGTATCAGGGAAGGATTGAGATGAAAGGAAAGTATGTTAAAGTAACAAGCACAAGGTGTTATTTTTCTTTTCAATAGGAAAAGAAAATAATTCAAGATAATGTGCACAAAAAAGTTCAGTTAAAATAAAAGATGTTTTAAAAGCATGAAATCCCAAGTATTCTGGATTATTGCTTAAAATAAAAAACTGACAATGGTGAATTAGCTAGTTCTGTTTCCCAAATGTCTTCTTTTGCATCTCTCTAGACAATAGAATAAACGTCTCCCATCAGTAGGTGCATCAGGCAGTGGGTCATATTTATTTGGTCGCTTTTTTCTTAGAATGTCAGCAAGCTTTCCATCAATTGCATCCTCCCCTTGCCCACATGCAGCTGTGGGCTAGGAGGAACAGAACTATTCAATTTTCCAAGTACAACTTCAGAGCCTCTTGCTTGGTTTAGCAGTGAGGTGATCCATACTCAATAGACTTGCAGAGGAGAAAGCAAGTCTCTGGATATTCTAAAAAGTGGCTAGACTTTTTTGGAAATTAAATTTTCCATTTTAGGTGGTGTCACAAGTGCCCTAGTACGTCATATCTGATCTTATAGAAAGCTTGTGAAGGTTTTGGAATGAAAGAGCTCTGTGTGAGCAAGCAGAGGGCAAGGATGATCAGACAGATATGTAATGGTTATCTGATCTTTCAAATAGCTTCATCAATGACTAGACACTAAACACTTGTTGCTAGAGGTGAATGTAATGAGCCAGCTTTTGTGCTGTACACCCTACTCTCCTTGGAGCCCTTCAGTGAGCTGCTGTTGTTCTCTCTGTGCAGATGCTCGGGACTCCATTGCAAAGGTGGCATATGGCCGAGTATTTGGCTGGATTGTTTGCAAGATCAATGAGCTCCTGGCTGAGAATGTGGATCCTGAGGTGGAGCTGAAGGAGATAGGTGAGTTCTGCCTGCCTTGCTCCTGTTCTGTCCTCAAATGTGTGTCCTTCAACCACAATGAAGGAAATCATTGAATCATAGAATGGCCTGGGTTGAAAAGGACCTTAAAGGATCATCTAGTTTCAAACCCCCTGCTGTGGGCAGGGTTGCCAACTACTAGAGCAGGCTGCCCAGGGCCCCATCCAGCCTGGCCTTGAATGCCTCCAGGGATGGGGCATCCACAGCTTCTCTGGGCAACCTGTTCCAGTGCCTCACCACCCTCCGAGTGAAAAATTTCCTCCTAATATCCAACCTAAATCTTCCCTCCCTTAGTTTAAAACCATTCCCCCTCATCCTGTCACTATCAGCCCCTGTAAACAGTCACTCCACCTTGTGTTTATAGGCTCCCTTCAAGTACTGTAAGGCCGCAATGAGGTCTTCCCGGAGCCTTCTCTTCTCCAAGCTAAACAAGCCCAGTTCCCTCAACCTTTCTTCATAGGAGAGGTGCTCCAGCCTTTTGATCATCTTTGTGGCCCTCCTCTGGACCCGTTCCAAGAGCTCCACGTCTTTCTTGTGCTGGGGACCCCAGGCCTGGACACAGTACTCCAGATGGGGTCTCACAAGAGCAGAGTAGAGGGGGACAATCACCTCCCTCTCCCTGCTGGCCACCCCTTTTTTAATGCAGCCCAGGACATGGCTGACCTTCCGGGCTGCAAGCGCACACTGCTGGCTCATGTCCAGCTTCTTGTCCACCAGGAGCCCCAAGGCCTTCTCCGCAGGGCTGCTTGCAAAGGCACAGTATGAGGTTTCATACAGATTATGTGCAGGGATCTCTTATCAAAGATGTGATCATGTTGGAGATAGTAGTCAGCAGCATGAAGTCTGTAGGGCCTTGAACAACTCTGAGCAGCTGGATGGTCTGAAGCAACTGTGAGGCTGTACTTCTGGGGCACTCCAGCTTTGCAGAGGAGCCAAGGGTGGGAGTGGGGCTTCTCCTAACTAGTTCTCCAAGGCAGGTTATGAGAGAGGTGCCACTGGTGACTTGACTGGGGTTTCCTGTGCCACAGGAGCTGGGTGATGGGAGATTTAGTTGTGTGTTGGGGTATGCAGCTGTCTGCAGGCTCAATGATGTGTTCATCTTTTCTTTTTTAGGTATCTTGGATATTTTTGGATTTGAAAACTTTGCAGTGAATAGTTTCGAACAGCTTTGCATAAACTTGGCCAATGAGCAGCTGCAGCACTTCTTCAATCATGTAAGTCTGCTGTGAGTTATCTCACCTTGTGTGTCAGAGAAAGCAGAGCACGGATCTGTCTCACCTATGACGGAGAGCTTGGGGAAAAAAGCAGGTCTATTGCCTGGAAGGACAGAAATGGTGATGAGTGAAGCAGGGTAGAGAGCAGCAACCTTCCCTGCTGTGGCAGGGAAGCCACTGTGGCTGGGAAGGAAGAAGTAGAAGGGTCAGGCAGTAACCAGAGTTGGTAGAGCAGAGACACTTTCACACGGAGAAGCATTTCTGCTTTATGCACCAGCATCAGTGAGTAACAGGCTTATGGATGAGCATGCAGAACAGCAGTTTCACCTTGGATCTCATGCCAGGGGTGAGAGTCACGCTTCTGTCCTCTGTTCAGTGCAGGAAGGAAGATGTTCAGGGTTGTCGGACTAAGTCTGCTGGGTGCTCCAACCTCTTTTTTTTCTGTTTCAGCACATTTTCCAGCTGGAGCAGGCTGCCTATAAGGAAGAAGAGCTGCCTTGGGAGACTATCACATTCAACAATAATGAACCTATTCTGGTGAGTGAGAGGACTGACAAAAGATAATTGTTCCATCCAGCTGGGAGTGGAGTCTTGCTCTTTCTGTCATGGGGAGGAGATGCACCTGTGACAAACCTCTTCAAAGGGTGGTGTAGGTGAAACTGGATGCCTTGTACTGCTTTAGATGCGTGTAATGTGTCTCCTTTCCCACAGAATCTGCTCCTGGCCAAGCCACTTGGGCTCCTGTCTCTTCTGGATGAGCAGAGTGCATTCCCTCAGGTATGCGTGAGATGGGAGGCAGAGGAAATAGTGTGGGGCATGTAGCAATAAATATCTGGGCTGCAGAGAGTGCTTTTATGTTGGACTGTTCCCATGTGTGACTGACAAGACAGGACAGACAGATCAGGGACAGTCTAACGATACTTGCATCCCCAAGGAGAGTCAGAGTATAGTACAAAACTATTGCACAGCCAAGGCCACTTCCAACACATTGTTTTGCTTCCATGTACTCTGATCAGGTCTCTGTTGCAGCCTTATTGTTTGATTATGAAATCTGCTTTCTTGTAGGCAACTGATAAGACATTTGTGGATAAACTGAACAGCAGCTTCAAGGGGAATTCACACTTCCAGCCAGGCCGAGGCCATGTTTTGGCCTTCAGCATCATTCACTATGCTGGGAAAGTATGTACTGTTTGCAGAAGAATGCTGTTGTAATGTATGTAGGAGGGGGGTTGTTGCTTGACAAATAAGGTTTTGATGTTAAGGAGTATATCCTCCAACTGATATAACAGAAGTGATGTGTTCCCATGGAGTTGCCTTCTAGGATTCCCTGGGATTTTCGTAGAAGGTATAAGAAGAGGGGACCTCTGAGGAAAGTGCGGCTACCTCTGGGAAGCATAGGTTATTAGAAGAATCTGCTGTACTCCTCACCATTCTATTGGAGCTCTAGTCTTAAAATAGTCCTTTAAAAAAGAAAAGCCCTGTGCAGCACCAAAGGACAGTCTAAAGGCTTTACCTTCACCTTTTGGGTTCCAGTGCACAGTAGCCACTATGTTATTGCAAACACTGGGGAACACACTGAGAGCAGCCAGGTAATGAATGCTTTGAAAGTGAAGGCACTTATGCATACATTCAATGGTATCTAAGCAGTTTGAGGTTTAGGACTGTGGCATGTAACCTTACTGCCACCAGTTTTGAAAGCATTGGCCCAAATACATTGAGTTAATTGGAGATGATTTTTGGAGCAGGAGCAGACGTGATGATACAGGTCATTGTAATGTGCAATTTAGTAAACTAATCTCACCACTGTTGACTAAGTTATTACTTGTGACATTCTTTATTACAAAAATTAACACCTAACATAGAAAGGAGAGCAGCAGGCTGGAGATGAGAAAGGACAGGAGCAAGAGAATCAAAGGGATACCTGACAACAGGATGGAAGCCTATTCAAAGGGCACAGTGGGAGAGCAAGGAAAACAGTGAAGCATAAACCAGAAGTAAATGAGACTTCATAATCAAGGAAAGAACAAGAAAAGGTGGATGTCTCCATGTTACGCTGCAGTCCTGCAGTTCTAATGCCTCAGTGCCATCTGCCGGGTTTTGTTCCTCAGGATTTGCATCTGAATGGGGTGCATATGTATTTACAGAATTCACGTGCAAGCTAGTGTACATTCAGTTTAACAGTTGCTCCTGGCAAGCTGTGGAGGTGGCTTTCACAGCAAGCCTGTAAGGACTGCTGGCCCTAGTGACCTGCTGCCCTTTCCCCTAGGTACAATATACTGCTGAGGGCTTTCTAGAGAAGAACAGAGACACCTTGCCAGCCAATGTCTGCGGTCTCTTCATCAACAGCGTCACCCCCTTGCTCAGTGTGCTGTTCACAGGCAAGTCCCTCTGCTACGACAGGGCATCCCACATGAAACAAGGCCCACCTTGGCAAGAGCTAAGTGTGGGGATAAGGCTCATGTAGTATGAATGTGTTTCACAGCTGGTAGCTGCAGGGAGACTCTGGGAAGGCTGTAGGTTGGAGTGGGCCTGCTGACAAATACCAAGCTGTGGGCGCTGTTCATTTTCCCTGGTATGTAGGCATGATAGCAGGAGTAGCCTTCAGAGGTGTTCCTCCTGTGGAACTGAAGGGCAATTGCACAGGCATAGTTCTGACCACAAGCCTGGCCTTCTCTACAGATGCTAGTTACAGCAGAGCCTGACCTTTCAGGGATCAGTTTTTGGTTAATTGCTGTATTTTTGCTGAAGCAGGGTGTTAGTTTTCCCACCAGGAAGACCTCCTGGGATTTACCCAGTAGATTTTCTTTTGGTTTGACCATGGCTGGAAAGCAAGGCTGGTTGTATCCTCTTCCAGAGAATTAGCCAGTGCTCAGATAGCCCATCTTCTCCAGGACCAGTGCAGGACTGTCTCCACTGGCCCTTTGCATGTGCTCTTTTCTGGTCTAGAAGTGAAGCTGGACAAGATCGTAGCTTCTATCTGTTCACACTGAAAATAGAGTGCTGTAGAGCCACAAGCAATGAGTGTAGAGATTACCCTTTTCAAATACAGCTTGTTTTTCAACTTGTTAAAAAACTCTTTAAGGTCATGCCTTATTTTTTTCCCACCACTGCACTCCCTTTTTCCAGTTATCGATAAGCCCTCAGAGTCTCCAAGGCTTCTGTGAAAGTAAACATTTAAAGAAAAGTCAGGTTGATGCTTCCTTGGAATTTTTCTGGCTGAACAGAGTGCTCCTGCAGAATTTTTTTTCTTTTGCTGTTCAGTCCAAGCCACTTTCTGGGATTTACAAGTAACTGATGAATTTCATTCCTATTCCTTGCTGTGTTTTTCATCTCTTCTGCTCAATAGTATCTTTCTTTGTTAGCACTGCCACACTGTTACTCAAGATACTTAGTCTAGTCCCAACTCTTTGAAAGCCCATAAACACTGGAGATAACCTGTTCTCAGTGCAGATTGTTTGTCCAGTTCTGGGCAACCAGCTCAAGGTGGCCCTTCTGAGCAAAGGGGTTGGCCCAGCAGACCTCCAGAGGTCCCTTCCAACCTCAACCATTCTGCGATTCTATGATTCACATGAGACACATCAAGGGTCTGCAAAACTGTCATTAAATCCTTCAGTAAATTCAACTTCCCTGAACTTTTCATCTTGTGACTGAATTAGTTTTAAGCCATCTGACTTTATATAACCTCCCGTGTTGACTGCTGTAGCTGAGCTTCCCATTTGCTATCTTTACTTTTTTTCTGTGTTATTAAATACCTGTTGATGATCTTTCTTTTGAAGGTCATTTAGGGTTGTTCAATAAGCTGATTGCCTTGTCTTCTCAGTGGCAGAAAATAATATTGAATGCATTGTATGCTTCATGTATTTGCATTTCCTTCTCCCTTTCTTTAGGTCTTTCCTTGTATTTCTGTGTGGTGAAACCTATCACCCTGTCTGTGATTCAGTCTCGAGAAGACTTGTTTGAAGTGAGGTTTGAATATTTAGATGTGGTTGATTGGGAGCAAAGGTATAAAATCAACTATTGTCTCTTTTCCTCCAGCCACTATCTCCAGGACGGGGACACTGATGCCTCATGTGAAAGCCAAGGTATTGCACTTCAGGTCCATTTGGCAATTAATAAATGATGGCATAGTTGCGTGATATTTACTACTTGAGAAACTGGATGAAAATGAGAGCAGACAGAAATTGGTTGAAAATAAGAGCAGATAGCAACCTGGTTGTAACAATTTCTCCTTTGTTTTTTACTGGGTTTCCTGCTTGCTTCTTCCTGATACGTTTAACTTGGCTTCCCTCCCCTGAAATCCATTATCTCGCCATTTTGCCATCTGCTTTCCAGCAGAGTTCTTTGGTTCCAGGGGTAATCCTTTTGTTTGGGTTTGGTTTCAGGTCATACCAGGATCAGACAACAAGTTCAACAGCACAAGAAAACAGTCTGCCGGAGCTCAGTTCCGGGTAAAGTATGGCTGCCCTGCAGTAGCCCTTGAGATGAGTGCAGTGATATTTTCTTTGGAGCTTCCAGGCTGCTAAGCATAGTTAAAGCATCCAGCATGTAGACAGGGGTTTTTCTGGGTGCCAAACACAGCTGATCTTGGTGGGAGTCACCTGGTTGTTGTCAGAGGCCAGGAAGTTGCTGTGGGGTGGGAAAACAGTTCTCAGTGCAGGATATTGCATGCTGGGCTCTGGCAGTGCTTTGGCTTGCTGGACTATTGATATTTCTCTGCCCTCACCAGCATTCCCTGATGGTGCTTATGGAGAAGATGTATTCTGCCAACCCGCACTTTGTGCGCTGTATAAAGCCCAACAGCCAGAAGGAGCCAGGTGTGGTGGACAGCCAGGTGATGCTGCAGCAGGTGAGGAAAAGCAGTGTCCCTTCCAGGTACTTCTGCTACCTCTCAGTGGAGAGGGCAGACCCCACCCAAAGGCTGTAGAAATAGCTGGAAACTGACTGGTCTGTGTCTCCCCTTGCAGGAGAAAGAGTAGGCACACTCTTTATGCATGTAATTATTCTGGGTACTTGGTTGTTTTTGTGACAGAGACTGCTAGGTCCAGGTTTTGCAATCTTAGTTCTCTTACGTTTCTTTTTCATTAATTCTGTGAGATCTGCATGCCAGGTGCTAGGATTCATCTTTGCACCTCCTGCATGGGGACTGGTACAGACACTACTTCTCCATGAAAAATCATGCCTCCTGAAGGAGACTGTTCTCACCCATCAGCCAGGGCAACTCTGAATAGGACCTAAGATGGGATCGCTTTGACAGGAGCTGATAAGTGCTAATATGACTGTCTTTGGATATTGTGTCAGGTCTGAAATCCAGACACTGTAAAGAATACTGAAAATTATTAGAAGAGTTCAGAAAGCTCTGTGGTCTGTTTAATGTATATAAGAAAGGAGAGGATTAAGAGGGAAGTTCATTTGTGTCTCAGAGTACTTCTGTGTCCAGATTTGGAATTAAAAGGCTGTCCTCTAAGGGACGGAGGCAGAGCAGTACCCATGGCTGGAAAGTGAAGTTACTTCAGTCATTGGTTTTTGTGGTTTCCAGCTTTTAACTGAGAGTGGTTAATCATCAGAGTTACAGGATGTGGTAAATTCAGTCTTTAACCAAAGAACGTTTTTCAGAAACATTTTCATTTTGAACTAGAGAAGTTTAGTGCTGAATGAAGGAATTTCTGTCTGCAGAGGAACAAACTGGTGTTCTTATGATGTGTTCTTGTTTGTTTCTTTGTGATGCTGCTTCAGCTCAGGTACAATGGACTGCTGGAGACAATCCGTATCCGAAGAGATGGTTTCTCCTGGAGACCCTCATTTGAGGAATTTGCTGAAAGGTTTGTTAAAACTTCAGAATGTTCCTTGTTAGGTATTGTTAGGGAAGTGACCCTGGTAACTAGATATGGGTAGGGAGTGAAACTGGCTCTTTACAGTTCACGTACCTGAGATCATGGGGTTGTTTGCTGGGTGGGAGGCCAAGTGGGAAAGACTGTGATTTATTTATATGGTGATTACTATATACAGTGATTGCTGTGAGGGTGTCATGGATCACCTCAACAAATCAATGATGAGGCTCTTACCTTGCTGAATTGTTTTTTTTTTTCACAGATATGGAATTCTTCTAGTTAAACCAGGTGTTGCCCTCACAAAAGAAAGGTAGGAACCCTTCCTTTGTAAGTGCAATCCAGTTTGTTCAGTGACTTTTGCTCTCAGGGTAGCATAGTAAACTGTGTAAAAGGAACAAAGTGAAGATGGTGTTTTGTGGTAATGGGGAACACAAATTCCTAGGCAAAGGCAGTGTTTTAAAAAGTATTTGGTACAATGATGAATGAAGTCTTTCCTGAATTGCTATGTAGCAATTCAGTTCAATTGCTATAAAGCCGTGCTAGCCTGTGGAATGAGAACTGGCTAGTGCACTCAGTTTAGGGGGTCACAATAATGGTCAAGGGTATCCACTGAGCTTGGTATGGCAGGGGCTTAGACAGTTGCCAGGTGCGTCTCCAGGCTTTTTCTTGATGGTCTCATGGGAGAAGAAGATAAAGACATTGCTGAGCAAGCAGCCAGCACTGATGTCTCCCAGGCTAGAGAGTATGTTTCTGGTCCAAGAATTTTTTATATGTAAAGGCATACCAGATGATGGTAAACAGGCAGCACAGTTTTCAGACACAAATATAGTAAGAGTTACCTTGGATATAGATCCTGACACAGCAGGAGTTGGCTGAGATAGAAGGAAAACCACTTCTGCTTTGCTGTGTGAGATACTAGCAAAAGGTGCCACTATGGTTTTGCAGGTAGAGTGAGGAAGGTGTCTGTGTGGTGCAGCTAAAGTATTGGATTTAGTTCCAAGTGTTGGTGAATCTTTCTGAGTTTCTACAAATTTTATCACTAAAGTCTGCAAAATGAAACTGGAATTGGAAAATAGACTTTCTGCTGGAAGTCTTGCTGTGCTGACCTTGCCACTTATGTGCTACAAAGATCTTGGAAATGAAATGAGGAAAAACAGTTCCGAGAATAAAATAAGCTCTGCAGAATTGACTTCCAGAAGGAAATCTCCCTCTGGGAAACCCGTTTGCTGGTGTTCCTGAATGTGATCCTAGCTGCACCTTAAGGAGCACTACAGATTGACAGCCAGTTATTGAATGTGATCAGGTGACAGGGGACAGAGAATGTAATGCAGAATGATTGAGGCATTTTCTCCCCCTCTATGTGCCTAAAACCACTGGCTGCATGGTGTTCACATTGGGTGGAAAATTATTTATTTCACTTTTTTCCTCTCTTTCAGCTGCTTGGAGATACTGCAAAGTACAGAGCTGACAGGCTGGCTGTGTGGGTAGGTGTGGATCACTGTTGCTGGGAATGAGGGGCCTGAACTGCAGAGACTTTGTACATGAAGACTCTTATCTGGTTCCTTTTGGGGAGAATTTTGTGGCTGTAGGAAATGCCTGTCCAAAGAATCATTTAATTCAAGTTTAGACAAACTGTTTCTCACTGCTTCTTTCTCTCCCCAACTTCTCAGGAAGTCACGACTTTTCTTTAAATATTGGCACCAGGAACAGCTGGCAAAGTATGTGGAGCGACTGGAGAGAGCAGCAGTTGTCATACAGAAAGGTGAGCACTGGGGCAGGACAGTCCCTCAACTCTGTTCTCAGACCAGGGCAAAAAGAAACTTTCTCCAGTCCCTGCTCCAACATTGCACCATTGCAGATGACAGAGAGGCCAGGCGCTATCTCCATGTCAAGGCGCTATGGAGTCAGAGTGCTTACTGAAGATGCCCACCTCCTCAGTGCTCATCCTCAGTCAGGGAGAGCCATCAGACAGTGTGAGCTTTGGAAAGGGAAAGCACATGTGCAGGAAAACTGGGCTGAGCAGGGCAGGCATATGATGTGGCTGCATCCCAAGATCTGGTGACTGTCTTCTGGAGTGAGGGCTTGTTTGTGAGTGGTGTTGAGCTGAGGAGAGGGAAAAGAACATGAGCAAAGCAGATCTCATTCCTACCTTCAGAGACAGGCAGAAAGGCATGAAGTTTTGTTTTGGTGTTATTTTTTTCTTTCCTTTCCTGCTCTGGCAGCCTGTTTCTCCAGAGCAGGCACTGTGGGCAGTTCGGTACTTCCCTGTGCACAGGCTCCATGAGGACTGTGCAATCAGGAGGAGGAGGCTGTTATCCTGCCTGGTCCCTCTCTGTTGTACTTCTCTTCTGTATGGATTGTTGCACTGCTGAAGCATCTGAGCAGCTTCCAGCTATGCACCATACAGTATGACAAGCATCAGACTGTCACATGCTGTGCTTTGTTCTCATCTGTGGGGAAGATGTGTGGGTAGGGGGAAATGACAAAATCTGGCTTTCAGTTCATGTGCTTTAGTACCTGGTAGAGTAGCTGGGATAATGCAATGTCTCTAAAGGTCCTGATGGCTCCCTGTGAAGGGCGCTTATGGGAAAGGTTATCCGCTGGCCTGACACCAAGGAAATCCCGTCTCCTGTATGGAAGAGCTTTGCTTTTACTGAGTAGTGTCTGAAGGGTACCAGGGAGAAAAATGGTTAACAGAGGCCCTTCAGTGAGACTTGGTTTTTTAGGTATCCTGTGCCTTGGCATTAGAGATGAGAGCTTAGATCTGTAATTTGATTGTTTTAAATCCATGATCTGGCAGCTTAGAGAGTAGAAGAGAGTTCTCATGTCATTTTGACTGCCTGCTTAAGTAGAGTCTGCATTACTTTTTACTAATGTGACTGAAGTGTTGAGGGTTTTGCACTGGGTGAAGTAATATCACCCAGTGTGTTTCCCCCAGGGAGTGACAAAGGCGTGATGAGCATTTTTTTTTCTAACCACAGCTTTTCTCTGAACAGTTTTCAGGGGATTCAGATGCAGAAAGAGTTACCTAAAACTGGTGGCTGAGCTGAGAGCTCAGGCAAAACGGCTACAGGAGGAGGCAGAAAGAGAAAGAAGCCAGCAGCTGGCAGTGGAAGCAGAGGCCCAGAGTGAGTGTCTCCCACTCCCACCGCCCCTGTGTATGGCCACTTGTGTGATGATCACCTCAAAGTGCTGTAAGCTCCAGGTGATGGTGACCTGTCCTCAGCTCTTCTGGGACTGGGGGCTCCACTGCTGCGGTGGACACAGAGGTGCTGACTTTTCCAGCATTTGAAAGTGCAGCTTTCTCTGTGGGGAGCCGATGCAGCATGGTGAAGGTCATTTGCCTGGCTGTGTTGAGGGAAGTGCCAAGCTGTGTCTTTCCTACACACTCCGTGCAGCAGAGCCTGTCCCTATCCTGGGCACGTGGAGGATCGATCTCATGGATGTTGGATGCTAGATTTCATCTACTTCTTTCCTCTTGTTGCAGAAAGAATGTCCTTTCCAGTCCCCATGCCACGAAGGAGGCGCCCTCTGGCTTCTCCGCATCCTTCTGATAAGCCACCACAGCCACCAGTGCCACGGCCACGCAGCAAGCTAACAGAGGTAGCGATATTGCCTCTGGTTGGCGCCCCTTAGCCAGGTGTCCTGGTTCCCTGCTCCTTCCACCTTCTGCATGCAGTTTCTCCTGCATGTGGTCCCAGGAGAACATTGTCATTCTTGTTAAGAGGAGTGAGAGAGTCCTTTCCTACTGTGGTTAATTAAAAAGCATGGTCAGGACCCTTGAACTGGAAGCAGCATTTGATAGTTTGTGACTGATCTTGTCTTGAGGGACTCAGGAATGGGATCACCACCAAAGTGATCCCTTCAAAGGTCCCTTGCCTTTGACCTTGCTTTCATGCACACTTTTCTCCTCTCCCCACTTTCAGTCCACTCCTTTTGATAACTTCTTGGACCCTTCTGTGCCTCACCCTGTTCTGGGGACGGAGGAACAGGCTGGAGAAGAGGCAAAAATGAGGAAACTCAAGAGAGGAGCAACTCTCCGCTGGTTCAAGGAGACAGAGGCCCAGAAGGTCATGCAGGATGATGGGGTCTTTCCAAGCTGGCTGCATGGGATGATCAGCCGAAGGTGAGTGCGCTGGACACAGTGGCTGCAGCTTGAGCTCAGGCAGAAGCAGCTAAGTCCTTAGGAGGACTGCACAGGTTGGGTTTGCCAAGATTTGCCTCCTTAAGGAATAGGAGTGACCTGCATAACCTTTCACTTTTAGGCTGTGAGATTCAAACCCTTAGGGGGAAACTTGGAGCTCCCTGTCCCAGGATGCAAATGATGAAACTTTACATGGGTCTAGGGAAAG